CACACACACACACACACACACACACACACACACACACACACACACACGCAATCAGCAACTCAAAGCAAACTGAGCAACACACCAATAAATACAGGGAAGAAAACTAGACACGCACAACCCTAAAGTTTAGTCGTGTGATCACCACATTGAACGACAACTGTCTCCTCAGCTTTCAGACTAAAAAGTGAAATGATGTCTCCTCCTCCTAAGATGTGCAGCACGGTCCTGGAACCAAAACACCAATCATTCCCACTCATGCGACAGAAGGAGCACCTTCCCGATAGTGGGTGCAGCTGGCAAACAGAAAAGAAAAAGGAGAGGGTCTTTTTTTTTTTATAATTGTGATATGGTACTTTGTAAAAACGCTGCACCCTGCTTTTAGCTCTCGTGAAGTGGTTCTCAATCCCACTAATCCACACGCTAGACGCTGCCCTGATACTCAGAAAGAGAGAGAGAGAGACAGAGAGAGAGAGACAGGGAGACAGAGAGAGACAGAGAGAGAGAAAGGGACAGACAGAGGGGGCTTCATGCTTCATTCAGAGTGCCACCGTGCTGTGACAGCAATAACTAAAAAACAACATGCAGCATTCGCAAAGCGGGCCACAAAAACCCAGCCGTCACTCACAACTTTTCAAGTACAGCGGGAAGACGATTGTGAGTGCCACAGCGTCAGGAGCGAACATCGCAAGTTCTTTTTTTTGTATCTGCAGTAATCCCAGACAAGAGTCGACGTGTCTCCATTGCTAGAGCCTTCGCCGATGAAGCCTCTGTGGCCATTGTTGTTTATAGAGAACTACACCCTGGGAGGAGGCAAGTGTATGGTGCAAACATAGCCTAAAGTACACAACCTTGAATCAGTATGCATGTTTTACATTGACATAGGATCTACAGGATTTATGCTGAGCTGGCACCACTTTATTTTGTCCGGATTGTCTTTTGATCCGGTAGCTGGGTCCAGTGGTGCTCCATCACTGCGAGTATTGGTTTGTTGGCTTTGCGCTGCATGGGTAGTAATGGCAGAAGAGGTTGCGTGGGGAACGGGGAATAGTTCTAGTCTTTTCTCTGCTGGCTGCTGGGGGGGGGGGGGGGGGGGGGGTGGGGAAAAAAAACTTTGTTTGGGGGGGGGGGGGGGGGGGGGGGGGGGGGAGTAGGTTGACAGCAACAGTCATGTCCTGGTCAGCAGTGACAGAGACAGAAGTCCAGCTGCTGATGCTGATAGCAGGCTGGGAGGCTTCATGCTTCCTTCAGCAGGGGGATATCTGCAGGAGAACCGAACATACACGTCAGAATAGAGAAGTGGCTCTGGAGTCAGCTGTTTACCCAGTAATCCATTACATCACATAAAACATTCCCGTGTAACTGGACCCTCATGTTTAGGTCCTCTATGGCATTGCCTTGTCACTGGCTGCCATACACATTCTCCGATTGAGATCTTAACCAATAAAAAAAACAGGTTGTATTAAACAGGTTCCTAATTGGCTATTTGTACACTGTTTTGGTGAAATCATTAAAATGTGTTATTTTATTATGAACTATGAATTTAATCTAATAGAGAGAGAGTGTAAGCTTTTAAATAAACCTACTTTGGGGTTTTTACTGAATGTCTCTCGAGCAATTGAAAATTGAAAATAGACCTTATGCCATTTCAATTAAAAAGTATTGATTATGTCAACCTTATGGAATTACTCCTGACAGGTTTGTTTACAAGCCCTTTTGCAAATGAGTTTAAAATAATATCATGTTACGGATTCTTACCAAATAGGTATACGTTCTGTGTTTATGTAAAAATAAATTATGCTGATGTCATTATCTCAAATTGGCACCGGTCGTCTCTTTGTTACAAAGGAAATGTGTGGAATAAGCGCTTTCTCTTACCGTCAGAAAAGTCGTCTGCAGAGGTGACAGAAAGCAGACTGTGCTGGTCGCTACTCTCAGAGTCTCTACGGAGAGGTAGGGGGCCCGCGCACGCACCCCCAGGGTGGTCTCGAGCCCATGACGATGAGGAGGAGGAGGAAGAGGGCGCCTGATGAACCAGCACCGTCTCTGCATGACGGCGGGAGGAGGAGAAGGACGACGAGGAGGACGTGGAGGGGAGACAGAAGTCTAAGTCTCTGTTGTGGCGTGTTCTGCTGGTGCCTTGGCCTCCCGCGGCTCCCTGAGGAAGACCCTCGGAGAGCACGATCGGGACCCGAGACTCTGGGGGAGCCGGAGGAGGAGAAGGAGAAGGAGAGGGAGGAGGACCGGAAGCACCGCCGGGTCCACCGCTTCCGTACACGGCCTCTTCGTAGGAGGGCAGAGCCACCTGGACGCCCTCGACCATGATGGAGCTGGACTGGCCCGAGACTCCCTGCTCCCTCCTGACGGTCAGACAGAGAGAGACGGAGCAAGAGTGAGACGGACATGTTGGAACAAGGTGGATCACAACAGGCAGGATGCAGGCCATGTGTGTCGCAGCAGAACCGCTAAGAGGTGATTAGCGTCGACTGTACAATCCCTTTATAGCGGGCTGCACTAAGCTCTCGGGCCGACAAAACAATCAACAAGAGTGGCAATGAGCATTAGATCAAATCATCGAGGCCGTTTTCATCACAGAGGCAGTTACTGAAGCTAACGGGATCAACTCCTACTTTCATTTCTCAAGTATTTAAGAAGTGCCAACTTGTAAAACTAGTTGTCAGGTCTTGTGTATCTTATGTGGGCAACTAGTTTTAACCAAAACTGAACAATAGGTGTGTCCACAGAAGGTATGAAAGTCTAAATCTGCTGCGTCACTTTGTCACCATTGCACCATTTTTGTTGTCCATCTCACTCTCTTAAGACTCTCTTCTATATTAAACAAAGATAGGGTCTACATTAGCCTTTTAACAGCTTGAATTGCATGCAAGGAAAAGCTTTATTCACTTGAAATAAATTGTTAGTTACTGTTGAGTTACTGTGTGACTATAACTATGATTTGCATGGCACCTAAAATAATGTAACGTAAGAAACTACAGTCTCTATTTGTAAACAGCAGCACCAACAACTGCTGGCTAGTTATTATACCAAGTGATCATCAATTCATTTTAGAATTCTAATATGGTGACGTTTTGATATGTATTTGGGGTGAGAACACAGTAATGTGTGTGTGTGTGTGTGTGTATCTTACCTGTTGTGATGGAAGGACTTGAGCTTTGGTTGTACAAGAACAAACAGCACCACTAACAGCAGGATGAGGGCCACAGAGCTAGCTGTGGACGCCACGATGGACAGAGCGGGTATACCCAGCGGAGAGCTTGGCTCCTTGTCTGACGGGCACAAGAAGAGACGGAGAGGAAGTGAAAATGTGGCTCACATATTTCCACTTACATCACGCGAAGATATAACGCGATTAAAAAAGGTGAAAGTTATCCGAGGTGGCCGGACCTTGTGTGAGTCGGCAGCTGATCTGCATGGGGCCGTCCCACTCGCCGTTCTGGCAGGTGAGGAACTTGTAGTCTCCCTTCAGAGCGTACCCCTCGTCACAGAAGTACTCGATGACGGTCTTCTGGGTGAGGCTGTGGCAGGGAGACGGGTGACAGCGGTAGCCCCCGTTCTCTGGCTCAGTGGGGGGGGAACACACTGGGAAGAGGCAGAGGCGGTAGAGGTTTTAATAAGCGTCGCTGTTGTTGTGTACCCGAACATGTGCTTGCTGTTATTTCTACCTGTGGTCAGGCTTGATTCCCGTGGTTTAAATGCTCATATTGAGGGAAACGTCCCAGTGTTCCCTGCTGGATCTCAAGGACATTCCTCACTATTGGTGTAATGATACTATGGGACACTGAACTGATGCGATGTTGCACTTTTCATGCATGTCATGTGTGTTAAGCACACACCTGCACAACCTCAGACATCAATAAAGCTGTCTTTTGAGGAAGTGAGAACATGCAATGCAAATGAATTATTCCGGTTATAATAAATGTTTTCTATAGACAGACACATTAGGCCTGCATGTGAGCATACTGAGCAAAGAACCTTTTAAAAAGCTGCAAAACAGACCATTCACTGCTTTATATTGGATTGAAAACAAAAAGTAAACAAAATGATGTTCTTGTGAGCTTTGTTTCGTGTGTGCATTTGTTTGAGACTCGCTCACCGCTGCTTCTGATACAGCGCGGAGGCTGATGGGACCAGGCTCCAGAGCTGGTGCAAATGATGGTGGTGGTTCCATCTGCAGTGTAGCCGGGCTCGCAGCCGTAAGTCAGCAGGGTGCCCGGGGGAAAGGAGCCACGGTTCGCTTCGGTCTGGTTCAGCAAGTCTCCGTGCTGCACGCTGGGGGGCCGCGCACAACCTTTAAAAAAAAAAAGAAAAAAAAAAAAAAAAGGGACACAGGAACAAGTGACAAGAATAAGAATTAGCCGGCTGATAGAAGACCTTTAGGTTGGACTTATGATCATCTACCGGCAGCAAAATTGGGATCCTGAACCATATTTTAATTATGTGAGGTAACAAGGCAATTATAAAAGCATGTAAGTAAACTAAGCAGCGTTACGAAACTGCCTGTAGACAGGATATGAAACAATTTATGCAGGGATTGAAATGTATTACAGGCCTGCTGGGGCTACAAGGACAATTTGTCTCACATGTGGCCTCGTTCTTTGACGCATAATGTACCAATATTAGTATTTACGACCACTAATGGGGCTCGTTACGGCTCCATCACAGTCTGATAGAGAACCTTGATGATTTCAGTATTACAGTAATGTGGTGCTGCTGGAATATTGTGCTGTTCTATCATTACGCCGACACAAACTGTCTGCTGGGCTCCTCTGCAGGCAGCTGCTGCCGGGTCAAACCGCTTTTGAGTTTCAAAGTTGACAGGTTGAGCTGATAATTAAAGCTCAGAATTATTCTTACGTGAAACTACAGGCTGTATTTTACACAGAAGCCCTGCATCAACATGACGAGTTAGGTGGAGCCATCACATATAGATCTCAATTTCTCCTGCTCATTAAAGTGTCTTCATCCCAGGCCAGCACTGAGTCTATTTGTCCGGCAGTGGGACAGCATCTTAATTCACTTTGCTCTAATGACAGACCCGAGGCTCTAAGCCAGCCAATGAAGACAGTACGAGGCAGAAGACCTCAAAGATAATTGGGCTTTGATCCACCTTCCCACGCTCCATCTAGGATGTTGCAGCATCACGCCAGCTTCTTGTGTCTGAGTGAGTGTTTCTTCTCAGTACGAGAGTATTGGAATGTGTGCTGCACTCCCACAGCTCCAAACACTGTCCGCACGCACACACGCACGCGCACGCACGCACGCACACGCACACACACATATATTTGGCGTTGCAATCTAGAGAGAGCAGAGCATCTAAATCTAGCAGGACTGACATAACATTGTAACACCTGTGTAAACATGAGATATGACAGCTTTGCTTTACTTTCAGTAATACTGATCTTAGAGAATGGTCAACAGACTTGAGGTTATATTACTACTGATCTGGAACATATGTGAAGTGGTTATGCAGATGTTGGGCTTGGCTTCATTGGGAATGTTTCCAATTAGAAGGCCACGGTTACATTTGCCTTTTCAATGTGACTTTTGTGATCGGATGCGCAAGATCGAGACTCAGCTGTGTCGCCATGTGTCCCCACAACCAGCATATCAGATAGTGATCGGATATATTTTGTGGTGAAAGGAGCGGCTGTAAATAAGTGCATAAACACAATTCAATTCCTATAAATTATTCATGTTTTTCGCTTCTTTCTCTTCCTCCTTGCAGTATTAGTAATCAGGATGCTTTGCTGATTCGGTGATAAACACATTTTCCTATAAATTAAAGTCTTCCGCTATTTTGTCATTTAAAAGCTTTTATTTTGAAGCAGCAAAATCAGGAACTGGTGGGATTTCATAAGCAGTAACTTAACAGGACTCAGCTGTGCTCCAGCCCTCGGTTTCCTCCCATCTTCGCTCTGCTCTCACTAGGAAGAGGAACTCCCGTGCAGAGAAGGAGACTTAAGTTTGATAAATTGTCCGGATTGTGCCCACATGCTGTCCATACCTCACTGAGATCCGAGCCACCTCAGCATGTGGTCCGGCTAATCGGATCTCAATGCGAGAAGGAACCGATCTTAGAGATCTTGACCGTTAATGCGTCCTGGCATGATCGGATGACAACAATTTGCACTGAAAAGGACAAGTGTAACCAAGGGTTCAGTTTCAACGCTTAAAAACCACATGAGCCATTATATATGAAATAATATATTAAGTCTGTCATGATAAGATGTATCGGTACATCTTATCTGATTCATCAAATTGAATTATACAATCAACGCTCAGTGACTCCTCCCGGTAACAAGGCCAAGACATCAGTACATTTAAAACATCCCCACAATAAAGAGCACGAATGACCACACGGCTCGTTATTTAATCCTTTGTCGGAGTATTTATAAAATATTAGCCGCGGTCTGCTGCAGGGCCTTATCGCTGGCTTGACACAAACAAACACGCGGCGACACTGCAAACAGCCACTTTGTCTTGCCTCGTGTGTGTATGTGTTTAGAGATCGAGAGAGGGAGAGACTATTTCCACAGCAGTGCCTCCAACATCCTCTAATCTCCGGGAAGAAATGTCGCTCTAAGCTGGCAGCACAAGATTAAAAGCAAACACTCGAATGTGCGAGCGCCTACTCATCCAAACACAGACACATTCAACACCCACAAAGACGCTCCTAGGACGACACCAAAGGGTGTCATACTGAATTCAGCTGGGGACGGAGCTGGTGTGTGCTCGAGATGTGTCAACACTGCTTACTACAGGTATACTATGAAACTAATAGTTACTACTAGTGAAGATATTTGGTCGGTTCTACTTTCTCCATCACAAGATACTTTGTTATAGGGCTACAACTAATTATTATTTCTCATTATATCTTCTGGATTAATAGAGTCATTGTTTGGTCGATAAAATGTCAGAAAGTAGTGAAAAATGGTCATTACCCAGACATCAAATTACTTTAATTAACTATGAAAGACAAGCTGAGAATAATCACATTTGAGAAGCTGGGACCAGAGAGTCATTTAAATTACTTGAACATATAAACCATTATTAAAAATGCTGCCAGATTAATGTTTTTAAGTAAATTAATCAACTTATAATTTGAACTCGAGCTAAATGTTACATGATTACAAGATTGAATAAAGAACGTATAGCCTTTGTCGGCATGTCAAATCACCCATTGAAAAACAGAAGTACAACTATTTTGATGAAATCATAAGCGCTGTAAAGCAAAGAATGATACTTTGGAGTGCAGGGATTCAGCTGTGAGATGTAGAGAGCCCCATTGGCAGATCAACTGTATTGATATTGATTACAGCCACATCAAACCATCTGGTTTAATAAGATACAACACAAGCATGGTTTGTGCATTAAAGCGGTATTAATCGTTCTCACTCAAAACACATCCCCGCTCGTTCCTCACATGCAGAAACACTATCTGCTCACCCACATGTCGGGACGCCATTGGACACCGTGAGCTGAGCAGTTGTTGGCGGAGCTGCTCGAGGGCGACCGAAGGCTCTCCGAGGAGGAGACGATGTTAATAGAGGTGGTAAAGGTGATACATTGATGACCCATGGCTGGGAAGCAGCAGGGGACAAAAAAGGACCTTGGGGGGGGGGGGGGGGAGTTTAGGACAATAGCTGCTGGCCAACCAGCCACCGTTATGATCTATTGTGGTGCGCAGGAGGCCGTCAATACAGCTGCTGAAGACAGATGAGTGGTAACGGCATTCATTAACTGACTTTGAATGGCTTTCCTCTCTGCAGGATTGTGTCCGAAATAAAAGGCATGTGCATGCAAAGTACTTATATTCATTTTCATACAAACAGCTATACAGCAGTGTTTTTAAATACCAAACACGATGCATTTATTTACGACATTGGGCATACAAAACAAAGGCTTCTGTCAGAGCGGAGTAAACACTGTGTGATAGGAGATCATAATGAGGGATTAAAGAGACTGCTGGCCAACCAAATGCCATTCGGATCTACTGAACTTACACAAGTACCAAGTGGTTAGCGTGGCGTTAAGAAATTCCACTACAAGCCTTTACCTGCCGGGAAACACACGCAGCCAGGTACTTAATTACAGTATGTGGAAGAGCACAGTGGACCCGTATGATTTTAAATAAATATAACATCCTCGTCACATTCAGCTCAATGTTGGCAGCAGTAATAATACACTAGCTGGCATTACCCGATAGATAAAACACTAATATGTCAGTGTGCCTCTAGGTTATGTTACTATGCTGGTCCTAATGTCGTGTTTCATTAGTTAATTACTCGACGCTTCGATCGACAGAAAAGCAATCAACAACTATTTTTCTAATCAATTCTTTGTTTCAGTTATTTTCCAAGCAAAAGAGGCCAAACATATTCTGCTTTTCTCTGTCACACGTGTTCGTAAACTGAACATCTCTGGGTTTTGGACTGTCGGTTGGACAAAACATAATACAACACACAGCCCAAATATAGACTAGATAAGCAGAAAGGAGCACTCGAGACTTCCTTTGTACACTACATCCCCTGAGAATAGAACAACTCATTCCTAATTCAGCTGAACAAAAGGAAACGGAGACATAATATGAAAAGATAAAGACATGTTAGAAAAAAAGTGGTTCTTAAACTTAAAATCACTCTCCTGTGGGATCATACTTGTCAAAAGTAGTCAGAGCTGTCTCACTTAGAGCAGGAATACGAGACAGATATATAAATATATTAAACATTAAAAAATGACACTACTTTTGCAAATTAGCAGGAAAGAGAAAAGGTGAGGTTACAGAGGGGGGAGGGGGGGGGACCATCAGCATCGAGGAGCGCTGTGGCCCTGAGCAATTACACGGCGAAAAGAGACGTGTTGTGGCAGGTTGACCAATACTTGTGCGAGTGAGGGAGAGGCTCCGTACGAACAACAATGGCCGCTGTCACACACAGAACATACCGCACTGTGGGCTGGGCTGGGCTCTGTTACAGGAAAGAAGGAATGCTGGTTCAGTATCCAGAGATGGGAAGAGTGGGTGAGATTAATAACCTCGCTTGTCACTCCCTTTTCCATCAACCCTCTCAGCACAGATTGAATATTGGCTTTGGAAAAACACACAAGAGGAAGAAAAAGAAAAAAAAACTGATTAAAGCACTAAGCAATGCCAGAGTGGATTTCAGCACGCCATGTTTTGTGCTTATGAGGAAGGGAATGAGTCACGGTTAAACACAAGCTGTTCTCCCAGTGCTCTGATGTTAAGAGCAGGTTTTTGAGAAATGTAGAAAACAATGACTAAAACACGAA